AAATCAGAAAACACTAAATTTAAAAATAAAGATTTGTTTGTCAATTTAATTTTAGTGACGTAATTAGATGACGAAATCATATATAATGTGCGATTAACTTTTTGCTAAGAAGAAACTGATTCAAAATTTTATTTTTATTTTTTTATTCTATGTGCAAGACAAATGTACATATTTTCTTTTTATTCAGCTAATATATCGTATTGTGATACAAAGTCGTCTGAGAAATTACTTTACTTTTTTTAAACTTGCTGCACAGTTTATTCTGTGCTATTCTGTGCAAAACGATCGATTGTTCTTCAAGAACGTTTACTGCTCAGCATTCTACTACTATAGTATTCTGTATATCTTTCATGTAAATTAAAAATAGTATAGTTGAAATTTAAAATTGTAAATTGTATACTATTTTTAATTTTCATCTTACAAATATTATTTTGTAAATATTTCAAATAAATTTCAACATCGAAGAAGAGTATCAAATATTTCTTTAAGAAAGTCTTTATAATAATGGCAATAATCTCCCGTTATATACAACAACGTCTGTTTAAACAGTTAACTAGAAATTGAAAAAGAGTTAAAGTGGCAGAAAAAGATGAGACCGGGCATTGCTTACGATCGAAGTTTCCGCAAATTATAGATTGAGGAGATCGCCACCGACGGCGTCGAGGATAACAGTTATCCTGCATTCTCTGGTCGTTAATTTCTCGCTCGGAACGACCGAACGTTCCGGTTATGAATTCGTAACGAAATGCTGTCAATCGCATGACGATGCGACACGAAAATTCATAGTCGCGAGTAGTGTCGGACGAGTAGTAAGACCGGTCACACTAGTCATCTTCTGTTGTCGTGAGGTGATTTAATTAGTTGCGCTAAATCGCAAACGGTGTCTTTTCGGCAACCGAATCATGAATCTTGGCGATAAAATACCATGATTGATATTTATTTATTATTGTGACAAAACTTTCGGTTGACGTTGCGTGAATATTCAAAGGCATAAGACATCAATATCTTCTCGAATGCTTATCCAGATATATCTTCCTTTGTAGTAATTAATATGAAATTGTTGAATCAGCATAAGATTGTTCGAAGATGCAAGATGAAGAGTTTTAGTTGGACGTTGGTCCAACTAAAACTCTTTGAGTTAGGTCTGTAAAAATCTGTCTGATCGCTCTGAGAATATTATTCTCTCGTGAAAGGCTTAACCTCGGGCTCTTGTGTGCACGCGATAACAGAGATATTATCTGGCTTTTGCTTTGAATATGTGTATTTGTAGTCGTTCGTGCGAACTTATCGAAGACACGCTGGAAAAGTTATTACTCGAGCCTCTGAGCGATCAAGAGCTGAATAAAGACAAAAAAATTGGTCGTGTTGTTTCAACGAAATTAAATATACATATCATTTTTTTTATCAAAAAAGATTTTTTTTAATAGTTCAATATTACAATAATATATCCTGAAAATTTTGAAAAGAATTGATCGTATAGTTTTTTTCAAAAATCAATTCGAAAGAATCACCTAATTTTCAACGCGTTACATGAGGTTAAATTAAACTCCCCCCCTCCCCCCTTTAAATTTGAAATGAAGAAATGGAGCTTGAGTTAGAATAAAACTTTTTTTTATTTCTCTGATTAATTTTTAGATTTATAACGCGATCGGATTTATCTCGCGGCTCGTCACGTGAATTCCTGATTTTACGAACGGCCGCCGCGTTTTCAGGTCAATACGCTCGTAGGATGCGCGATGCGGGAAATATTGATGCACGCGGCGCGTCGTAGAGAACGCGAATCGATACACGGCCCGTTCTCCACATTCTGCCCGCTCTTCGGCTCGCTTCGGTCTACCATGCGTGAAGGCACTGCGGGCCTTACGGTACATCGTAGCCGTCACTGCGTACTATGGGCACCATGCCTAGCCCCGTGAACGTACGGGAGGTTGTTGTACCGACGAAATCTCTCGTCCGCCAGAATAATCTCTGAAACAGTTGCATTACATTTTTTTCTGGATATTTTAATATCCTTGTCGAATGCTCCATTAAGTTGCTTGTTAATTCACAGAGACACATTCAGATAAATTGAATCAATAAATTGAACTCACGAGTAGAGAATTGTGACGTTTGGAGAATTATTATTTTCAACACTTATTTTTCATGGACATTAAAATTCAATTACTTTTGCAATTTTAGAAAGAGCGAAAAGAAATTTAGGATGTCAACGAATGAGAAACTTATCTATAAATAATCTTAAATTCTTTCTACTTTTGAAACGAAATATTATATACCGATGATTATATACACGTTGCCACGTGTTCTCTGTAACCTCATGTGACATTTGATCTCAATCCTTTTAGGTATAAATTTTAAAATTAGCGTGTGTTTGAAAATAAAAATTCATAATCGTTCATAATCGACCGAGGTGTCCGATTTTAGCTAGTTAACTTCAGCCACCATTATTTTCTCGGCTGGTTTGTCTGAAAGTCATAGCCAGAAATAACCAGAATCAGAACAACAAGTATTTCTGCTACAAAGTTAGAGAAGTGGATTGCGCTCGAATCCTTGGATTGTATTTACTAGGCTAGTTGGGTCCGCCAGAACGGCCGGCCGAACGTAACGCTCATATATACATCGTTAGATAACAGAGCCAACGCGAAGGGAACGTGAAAGGTCTCTGGTTCACGGCGTGGCGACCGGTATCTCGCCGTATCGTTTCGTCGTGGCGAGTCGGTTCTGGTTGCCAAGCAGTGACGGCGGTGGCGGCGACTGCTATCCAGGTGAAGCGAGAGAGAGAGAGAGAGAGAGAGAGAGAGAGAGAGAGAGAGAGAGGATTGTGTTCCTCGTTTCCTCGTTATCCAACCATCTCGATTGTGGTCGCATACAACGATTACAGTGGCGGCGAATACGTGTTATGAGGGATACACGTGCGATGCATCCGCGACTCGTTCCTCGCGCACGAATTTTGCGAATTTTCTCTCAGTTTCACTTAAAAATCAATTGGCTTGAATCAATTGGTTCTTTAGCATCATAACTTTTGCAGGATCGACATCTTCAACGCTTTATTTTTCGTTAAATATAAATGGTTAAGCTTTATTTAATTGAATAATATTAAATTAAGTAAAAAGTAAAAATTCATATCATTCATGCACATATTTCTTCATGAAGACGTGAAATAAGAAGCATTTCATTTAATTTTTAATCAACTGTTTTCGAGATTCAGTAATTGGCTTGAAATATTTCGGCGCGATGTTTTCTTCTACTTTATTCGAAACGCTTGAAATATTTTTTGCGAATCGAATCGCTCATCTTCGCAATCTGCTTTGTTATCCTGTCACGATCCCTAATCTCCTAATTGCTGTCTATGTTATATTCGGAAATGAGAGAAATCATTATACAGTTGATATACTAATAATCTCGAAAACAGATGATAAGAGCAATTAAGCGAATATCGTATAAACATCGGAACATCGGAAAAATGCACGTTCACATGCATAATTTCTCAAGATGCAAGGCGAGATCCGCGAACGACTCATGATATGACTTATGTGCAACGCGAAAAATTATGATAGTGACATCGACTTTAATCTAGTGCTTTGACACGGATATTAAAGAAGAAGCGTCATTCGTCTCACTGATGAATCACGATGAACGCGAGCTTATTTGTGAAGTGCATTAAATTTCCTCACTTTCTGTTCTGATTAATCGACATTCCGATTCAATTATTTTGGTAATGTTTAACGGAAGATTATGTCCGATAATTCTGATAACTCTTTATCTTACGTCTGGATTCGCGGCGCAATCGAACTTTCGTAGATAATATTAAATGTCCCTTCACCGACTTAGAATTTCCACTTCGAGTATTCCTTGCAGAATCGGAGGATTTTCGATCGCTCGAAAACAGGATCTCGTTTACGGCCCGTGAATCACATGTCGCGGTTGACTGATTCACAATGCATGATCCCGGTCGCAGATATCCGGACGGTTCTTTTTTTCCAGCAAACGAGTTCCCGTCGCAAACCGGAAAACGCAGCACGCGCCGACGTGTTGGTCCACACCGTTGGTTACGACGGAAAACTGGAGAACGGCCGATCGAGTGGCCGGTCGAAGATAAATCAGCACCGCCTCGCGTATACGCACGCTTATTGCGAAATAATATATAAAGTATGCAAGCTGCATATATACGTCGGTGTTTGCATAAAGCAGCCGCGACGTTTAAATCATCGTGTTGATTAGAGCGTAATCCATATGGGAGAGATGACCAGACTTTTGTGCACCCACGCTCGTGGTATCGTCAATTCGTGAGCTTTTGATCCGCGTCAGCTTTGGAGATTTCGTCGCGAGATTGGGAAAGAAACAAGCTGCAGCTTGTATTACAGCTATTGATGATTGCGTAAATGATTTTACGAAACGGCACACCTCCTAATCTTTATTTTTATCCAATTAATTATATTCGGATTATATACAGACACTGATGTTAAGAGATAAAAAACACTTTTTTATACATAATATTTATAGCAATGTTAAGCAAAATTTGCATTGGGTCCAAGATGTAAATTGTTGTTTCTTCTGCACTTTTCTTTTTTTCATAAAAGTTCAGGAAATAAATATATATGTATGTCATTTTAAACACAGTACGATGTAAAAATTCTCGATAACGTTAAAGGTGCATGTGCTCAGCGTATACGCGAGGATACGATCTCGATCAAGTTCTAGTGGCTGCTGTATAATATGCTCGACGTACAGCTGTTATAAATAAAACCGAAAAACCTTCTCTCTTCGTAGTGGAAGATGGAAGAAGGAAAACGTGGGCGCGTGATCCCGCGATCCTCGATATCAATCGTGGAGATCGGCCGCGCTCGCGTGCGAACGAACGAACGTGAGCGAACTCTCGATCGCGTGAACTTTATTATTTCGATAAACGATATTTCCTTGCCCGCTTCTTCCGTAGACTGTCACTATCTCTATCGCTATCACATCGAAGTTGCGAAGTTTCGCTGTCACTTTTTTCCGCGATACATTCGCCCGATAGATCCTTTAACTTATTCAATCTTAAAGCGATTTGCCAAGAGCGCCTTTAAATTTTTTTTCAGAGAAAATCATCTTGAGGGTTATTCTTCGTTTGCACGATTAACAAATCACCATGGCGAGACAACAGACCGTGGACCGAAACATCCCTCATCTGCGGGACATTTTCGGCTTCGGCAGCAAATGGGAGACCCGCGGCCAAGCCGAGGAGAAGGCGCCCGGCCATGACAGTGCCGTGTCGATAGGCTCCACGTCGGGCGAGGAGGAGAGCCCGAAAAACAGTAAAAAGAAGAAGTCACGTCGCCGCGACAACAGCAAGACGCTGACGGAGAGCGACGTGAAGCATCTGGAACGACATCTTTCCATGAAAAAAACTATACGTAAGAAGATCATGCGCGATCTGCAACAAGCTTTCGTCGAGGACCCGAACGAGTTCCGCGTGGACGATATACCGCCAGAACAGCTCAAGGCAGAAATCAATATCCAGAGTTTGAGTTTCGGCACGCCGTCCCAGAAGCAGGGACGCACGCGTGGCAATGCTGAGAGCACGTTCCTCGACATGCTGCGCGGTGGTAGTAAGAGATCACTTGTTACTTTTCCCAAAATTAATTCAATTTTCACTTCTACTTTTTTGATAATGATGTTTTTTAAAATACTTAGGAAATTCTCGTTTACTTCCAGTTATTTCAAAATCTTTTCAAGATGTAACAAGTTAGAAGATAATTTATTTAAATCCATTAAAGTCAAACAAAACAGCTAACTTTCTATTTAAATACTATTAAAATTTACATGTTTTCTTAAAAAAAGAAAAGTTACGATATTCCTTGGAGAAGAAATTATAATAAAGATTTCGTAACTTTTCGATATAATATTAATTAACATAGGAGCAGATTAAATTCAGAAAAATGTTTGCAAAATAAAATCTATATTATACTATGAACTCTGGCAAAAATGAAGATACTCTGGTTTATGTAAAACGTAAACTCGATTGCAGGTTTAGAAAAAAATGGGACGGATGGTGATAGGGATTCAGGACATGGTGGATCACCGATCAGAGAAGCGTCCAGCGCCCAAGATACAGACGACGAGTCCAGCTACGCGTACGAAGCGCCCACCGCGACGCCCACGAAGAAGAGTGGTAACTTCTGGAGACGCTTCACCATGAAGAATCGCAATAAACGATAAATCCACGGAAGGAACTCCAGCGTGAAGAAAAAAATACCGATACTTTATGTTCTCCGTCATCTCAATAATTTTTACCAGCGTCATTAACGAGGCAGAGCTTGTAACTGTGATATACATAAAAACCAATTCATCTTCACCTCTTCCTCTCCCCCGAGACGATTAATCCGTCGAATTTTAAGAGGTTCCCGAAATTCGATCCGCGCGCAAAATCGAGGACCAAGAGATCAAATGTACAAATTTCGGACCAGCATTTTTATCGTTTGCTATCACGACATATCAAAGACATTATTTACCTTGAAAGGTAAACTACGTATCTTTCTTCAATTAATCAAATAAGGAAAATGTGAATAAAAAAAGAACATAATTCGATTCATAAAATCGCGTGATATACTTTTTATTTCAAGAGAGGAAAATCTTAATACTTTGCAGTCAAAACTCTCGATTCTGTAACGCTGCTAGACATTTATACTAGCAATAGTATTGAAACAAAGAAATAATAATTTTAGCTGCATTTTTCATATTTAAAACAAAATGAGTATATCTACATTTTAAAAAAGAAAAGAAAAAGAGGAAAGTAGGACGAGTAGGTCTATTTAGATATCATTTGAACAATTCCTTGTTGTACATATATTCTTTCGAAATATAGGAGGAACTTCTTAAAACTTCTCGACTTGGAATGTAACCATTGATGTGTCCAGTAACTCCCATCTTTTGACACGTACTTAAACGAAACGTAAAAAATAAGAACGGAAGTAGCGAAACACGAATACATGCATAGTATTTAAGGATAGTTAGTTTAATTTCTTTTAACATAAGAATACAAAGCAGAGACAGTTGTGGGTGATCTATAATAAGCAAAAAAGAGATGCGCACGTTGTCCGATTATTAGCTAGTCAACGACGCTAAGACGTAGACCCAGATTAATCTTTTTATTGGCAAAAATCGAATTTGATATCACTGTTTTGTAACGAATTTGAAAGTAAAATATTTTTTAACCAGTTCTTACTATTGTAAGTTGAGAAAATTCACAATCTCAAGATTATTAAGAAACATGCACGAATAAGGAACTTACCGGATTACGTCGTTTAAGAGTGATGCATTGCATTATTCGTTATGCACTTTAACTTAAGCTATGTTGATGTTTAACGAAATCCTGTTGTTCCTACCGTTTTTCGAAGTATCTCGCTAGTATTATAAACATTGTCGATCGCGCCGTCGAAAACGATTCACATATTCTCATCTAATCTCCACTTTCTACTATGGTAATAATAATAGTTATTATTATTATTCCTTTTAATACTAAATGCAACGCTATATATTAGCTTTAAATGTATCATACTCGAAATCCATGTAAGGGCAGTAATATACTCGAATAAAAGTTTTATTTGGATGGCTACGCCTGATTCTCTTGCATCACTCCTTGCATCGTTTTTTGTAAAAATTTATTGCAGCATGTATAATATTGCAACAAATATAACAAGTAATATCTCATATCAAACCCTCTAACTGACGAGCATTATGTAAACAATTTCTTTATGTATTTTCTTTTCTTTATGTAGAGCTTTATCGCACTACATCAGTGAAAAAGAAGATATAGAATAAGAATTTACTTTATAAAAATGCGGTATAAAAATATTTTTAAAAATATTTATGATCTTTTTTTTATATCCCAAGTAAGAATAGCTGAAATTTACTCATTTTTATAGTTTGGCGGACGTTTTTCCAAAAAAGCTGTCATTCCTTCCTTTCTATCCGTCTAGAAAAATCAAATTTTAATTTATTAATAAATCTATTCTTTTCACTAATCATTTAGATTTTTGAAGGATTACAGAAGGATTTCTCACCAGAGAGAATGTACTGTGGAACATTCTCTTTTCAAACTGAAGCCCCTGTTGCAATGTGGTTTCGTATGCTAAAATTAAGCGTAATTAAATATACACGTTCTATCACAAATTTAAATTTACATTATTTAAATAATTCCTTAAATAATTTTTGATTATATACCGGCATTAACAGCTTCCTTAGCAATTGCAACGACTATTTGTGAATGTGACGCGATTTTTTCGCCCAATTTCACTGCTTCTTCGAGAACTTTGTCAGCTGGAAAGACCTTACTGACCAAACCTAAACAGGTAAAATAAAAAAGTTTTAATTATAAGAAAAATATGAAGAAACTTGATTTATTTCACAAATTAACTTATAAATTCTATTAATATACCACAGATAAGTAAACGTGCACACACAATTTATTTTATTTTTTATTTATTTATATTAATTAGTTTATTTTTTACGTGCAATTCTTTCTTCATTTTAAATAAATATTATTAAGAAAATATTAAGATTAAAATGAAGAATCGCACGTAAAAAACAAACTAATTAATAAACAAATAAAAAATAAAATAAACTGTATGTAATATATTGATAGAATTTATAAATAAATTTGTGAAATAAATCAAGTTTCTTTCGATTATGATAAATTTGTCAAGTCTAATCTTTTTTAATTTTTAATCTTTTTTAATATACATACCACTTTTCTCAGCTTCTTCCGCGGTAATCATATTGCCGGTGAGCACCATTTCCATAGCCTTACTCTTGCCGATGATCCTAGGTAGCCTTTGAGTACCACCTGCTCCAGGAATCGTACCGATAGCAATTTCTGGTTGACCAAACTTGGCTTTGTCGCCGGCATAAATAATATCACACATCATCGCGAGCTCGTTTCCTCCACCCAACTGAAAGTTTGAAACATATGTCATCGAAAGATTTGTCGTTGTTTGTCGTTATGTTATTTCTTTCCTGATACTAATATTCTGCCAAAAACAATCTGTATTACTTACAGCATAACCATTTACAGCAGCGATTATAGGTTTTCTGCTTTTGGCAACTCCGTTCCAGTTAGCTATAAAGTTTTCCTTTAGATTCTTTGCGAATGACTTGTCCTTCATTTCCTTGATGTCAGCACCTATGAGAATAATATATATTTTTCTATTATAATAAAAATATTGAAAATAATGTTCTAATAGTCTAATCTTCTGGTAGAGATTAAATAAATGTGATATAGAATTGTGATATAAAATAAATTTGACATTACCAGCAGCGAATGCCTTTTCATTTCCAGTAATGACGATAGCGGCGATAGATGAATCCGAGTCGAAATGATCCAAAGCATGATTTACTTCGTTCATTAACTGAGCACACAGAGCATTTAGGGCTTTTGGCCTATTCAAAGTAATGATGCCAATATTTTTCTTTTCGCCCACAGTTTCAGTTTTAATAAATTCATAATTTCCAGTTTGGCCTGTGTGAATCAAATCAGAGAACAGATTTTTTTGTAAAAAGGAAAACGAAAAAGATGATTACATAAAAATCAAATCAAAATCGATCATAATAATTTTAGTAATTCTATTTTTTATAATTGTAATAAATTGAAAAAAGGTAAATATAGATGATTTTAAATATTATTTATTAGTTGCAAAAAATATATTTAGAGAATAAATATAAAGAGTTTAGAAGTTATGAATTTCTATACTCTCTTTATTAATTAACATAAATATGGCTCGGCCCACGATCAATTTCTGAAATAGCGACACGAAAACACGAGGAGCAAATAAAATTATTGCTGAAGATTATGTAGCATATTTAGAATATGATGAAGTTTTTGATTTCTAATTGTGATAAAGTTTCAACTAGTTTCTATGACAAAACAATATTAATTATAACTTCAAATGTAATCAAGATACAATTATTAGAATTATAATATAAAAAATTAATTTTTCACATCATTTTTTTCTTATGATTAATACACACAATGAAAAACATCATTATATGATTATATTTTGCGAAAAAGAAAAATGTAATATTTTTCGTATATATTAATTATATGCACTGTAATATGTTATGTAACATTAAAATTGACATTAAAGCGAAGTAACAGTGTAGATTCAATAAAATACTCTTACTTTGTTTTAGAATTGTTTTACAACTATTTATCAGATATTTAAAGATTTTGTCACATATTTATCAACATTTTTTTGTATGCAGCCAAATACTTAATCGGGAACGATTCTCATCGTAAAAATAATCGTAGGAATAAATAAGCGTTCGAGGCTACGAATAATAAGGTCTGATCTAATGCCATGTACAAGATGTCCCAAACGAACGGATATTCTTTTAATATCTTAAATCTTAAATGTTTTAAATCTTTTTTTGTAGGGAATTAAAATTTTCAGAGAATTTTCTTAACAGAAATTACTTCTTTATTACTTCGGTAATAAAGTGCATCCTTTATTTGTTTTAGATAAGCAAATATTTTCTTATGCGAATTGAAGTTGAAGTTAGAAAACATGTCGATATTAAATGTGAAATTATAAGCTCAGTATGAATTTGTGTCTACATATATAAATATTATATTACGGTACACAAATAAAGAAATTTGTTCTATAATTTTTATACGTTCCTTCAAAAATTCCTTTAAAAATTCGTACAAGACAAAATTTGAAAAATATTTCAAAATTTCACTTTTCAAATTTCAGAATTTTGATTGAAAAATATTAGAAATAGTTTTTCGCATTTGAAATTATTCGTTTGAGAGAGGAGCATGAAATAATATTGGCGTATTTAATCTCTATTAACCCTGAACGTTACGCATTATGGATTCGAACGAAGAATCGTCTTTTGACTGCGCGAGATATCGTTCCACATTTCAAAATCAAAATGCGAAATTCATAAATATATATGCATCCATAATGTTTTTTTCTTCTTAACAGATACATAAACATGCGCTCAAGATGACTCGTGGCATTTTAAAGCCATTTAAAGCACTTGGGCGTTTCGTGACGTAATCAATCGTTATCAATATCGCCTATACATATGGTTAAATTGTTTTTCTCTTAAAAGTCTGCGATATTGATTATGAATATACATACAAATTACACGTATAATATTACAAAAATATAATAAAAAATTTATTTTGGCATAACAATTGAGATTAATCTATGATACGCAAACAAATCCTTTTTTTTTTCTCTGTTTGGACTAACGAAAACAAGTTCTCCGACCGGCAATACAAGCAATTATATCGGGTGTCCCACAAAACGATATTGTGATCGAGCCGGCACTAGTAATGAACAACGCCACTGGAAAGGAATTAGTATTCACAGTGTGCTTAGATACTTACAAGAATAGTACCTGATGGCGGGCGCGATAAACTGCTGCGGTTTTCGGGCCGCATGCGATACACGCGAGAATAAAATCTGCGACATACGACTAGCAGACATGTTGATCACCTAAATGCCCGTGGAAGTGTCGTGATGTCAGTTCATTTCATGTATGGCCGATGATATCACGCAATTCTGCCAACACCCATCGTAGAAATATTACTGACTCCTTTCTTTGAAATAGGACTAGAAATATCTAGAAATTTAAAAAATTCTAAGAATCGCAATTTTTAATAGATTTTCAAGTTTGGAGATCTCAGAATTTCTAAATTCATAACAATCAATAACATAATCAATAAAGAAATTGCTATTAAAATTTAAAAAATTTTTCAAAAATTCCACGATAATAGTTTCGAAAATTTGAAATTTATATTGGAAAAATCAAAGTTTCGAAAATTGACAAAAAAGAATATAATCAAAAAAGATATTATAATGTCTAAAATTCCAAGAATTTTCTCAAATTTTCAAGAATCGAGAATCCAAGACTTTGAAGTTTAAATTACGCGAAAATTCGAAGTCTTGAAAATCAACAAAGTATCAAGATAATATAATTAGCAAAGAAATTGTTTAAAAAATTTTATAAAGTTTTCAAAAATTCTACAAAACGCAATTTAAAATTGTTTCTAAAATTTGGCATTTTTATTTTACCATTTTATCGAAACCAATATTAAGAGAATATAATTAGAATAAGAATAAAATAAATCATAATTGTAAATATTTTAATTTAAACAATTAAAATTTTTTGTTATTTCATTGGTTCATTTACATTTATAAGAACATAATTACAATATACATGTATAATAAAAGAAAATCTTAAATGTTTTTTTTTGGTATACGCAAATCTTTCTCCAAGTAGAGGTAGAAGTTGAAGAAAATCGAGATACTTTGCGCTTTCGATAGGACGTAAATGCGCTCGTAAATGATTTGCGTGAGTTTTATAGAAGAAAAAAGCCGACACGAGAGATTATAGTTCCGAATCAACGAGCCGCGACATGATCGATGATCCGCGCGATGACTATGACATGTAAGGAGAAAAAAAAAGAAAAGCGAAGATGTTCGTCTTGTCACGAGGTGAAAGTATTCGATTTGGAATTGGAATTGCGAAGTGGAGAAGGGAGGATGAGGAGGGAGGAAAGTCACCCCGACAGGTAACGGAGGCGGACGGCACATTGGCATTGAGCGAACTTGCGTTTACGGCAACACCAGTTCACGGTCGTTCGTCCATCCGCTTACCGTTTCCACGGGATCATGCGTTCTATTCTGCTTCTTACATTCCTGACAAACGCCAGGTTGATGGGCAACGCAGGTGAGAGAAAACCGATAGATAGATTGCGATTTTCCACGGTGTCCCGTTAATCCTAGCGACGAAAGAAATTCTTATAAATAAAACGTAAAACGAAATTTTGATTACTGCTGACAGATAGGTTTATTAGAAGATTGTTAAAAATGTGTCATGTCGAGAATTTTAAGACAGACAGAGATTTTATTTCAAATTATAAAATGTGTAATCATAAATATATTTAAAGAAATTATATATTGAGAAATAAAGCGTATACTTTTAATTCTATTTAAAATTCAATCAGTTTCTACAGAAGTGAAATAGATCGCTGTTGAGTTACTTTTTTTTAATTTTAAACTTTACGCCTCTTGTTTATTTCGCTTTATTTTCCTTTACAATTACAACTTGGATTTATTCTTAAACTTCTTGAACACTATAAAAATCGATAAAAAACATCTATCAATTGATATGCGTAATCGCAGAGGAGATCTGGCAGCAGGATCTGTCTAAAGACATGCGGATAGGTTCGTCCACCGAGGGTTACGATCGCGTGGGATTGCGATGTGGTGCTGAAAAAATGACTGTCGAACTTAAAACCACCGAGGATTTTTCGGGGGTGATCTACACACAGGGTAGCTTTTACTCTCGAGAACCATCCTGCTTTCTCGATCCGGTTCGCGGTAGAAGTTTCACCATGAGCATCCCCTTAAACAAATGTGATACCGAAAGAGTATGTGTTTATTAATTTAAAAGCTATCGTTTAAACCCACATTTATTAGCGTTATCAGTAAGATGATTCATTTGCATATGCCTGATATATAACACATCAATCAAATATTTTTAAAGTTAAACAAAAAATTAGAAGTTCTTAGAAAGATATTGTAAATACTTTTTAAATAAATAATAAAAGAAAATAAAATAAAACTTTTTCATAAAAAGAAAGAATTTTTATTCTATTTTTTTATTATTTATTTAAAAGAATCGTTTAAGAATAATGTCTTTCTAAAGGTTTTCTTAATTCTTTTAAAATATTTGGTCGATTTTATGAATTATATTATGAACATATAATATAATAAGACATATAATAAGACATACGTGAACTGATGATAGAAAGCATAACTCGTACACTCATATCTTCAATCTCATATCCTCAAATGTATTATATCTTGTAATTAATTTCTACAATTTCTCTCTCCTTTTCTCTCTCCCTCTTTCTCTCTTTTACATTGTAATTCATTAATCTTAAATAAATAATGGAACAGGAAAGTTTCGGTATATAAATTACGATATTTATGATATAGAATTTTAAATTATTATTTCTTAACGTTTTAACAATTTTCCTTTTAACGTTTTAAGCAATTATTGTCTGCTTTTATTACGAAAAAAAAGTTACCTGCATAATAGATTAGAAAATTTTTTCTGCAATATTATTTTAATACTTTTAAGTGTACCAATAAGCATTTATCAATTGCTATTGATTAGATTTAATTTTTTTTTTTTATTTCGGTGAAAGGACGGTGAGAAATACAGCAACATCGTAGTGATTCAGCACGACGACGAGCTGTTAACGCCAGGTGATGCCGCTTTTACGTTAGAATGCGACTTCTCAACGCCGCGTGCTCTCACGGTAACGGCGGATCTTAATGGGAGTAAGAGAAGGTAATTGTTTTGTCATTAATTCAACTTTTCTTACTTTCAATATGAATGTTGATTCGTGCGCTTTCAATTATTCATAAGTCTAATAAAGATACAATCCATAGATTTTCTCCATAGCGCGTAGATTGTGTACAAAGAGCGACAATTATCAATTCAAATATTAATCTGTGAAATATACTGATATGAAAGATTTTAATTAAATCGCTTTGTTATGACAGATAGAGTTCTCTCGGATGGATTATTGTAACGTAAAGAAACATTTGCTAAAGAATACCTTGATGAGAAATTCACGTCGTATGAGATATTTTACGTAATAATGATATGACTTTCGTTTATTAGATCTACTAGATCGAGTATAGCTCTTATCGACGTCGATCCAGGAAGTGATAGAAGGAAAAGAGCGGCGTACGTGGAAAGCTACGGGGATGAGGTTGCTTTCGTGCCCGAACGAATGCATCGTAAGGCTAATGATGAATTGTGATAGATAATATAGTGTGCTGGCTAATAAAGGAACTAAATAAACCTCGTCTTTTTCTCTTTGTTTCTCGAGAATAAAATTTTCTCGGTTTTATTAAATTAAGTTATCGATTAAACGATTATTAAAATCGATAGATGAAATTCATTTCTCAGAGATCGATTTCGCTTCGAATCTGAATTTGTTGAATTGAATTTTAATCGCATGATAAAAATATCCGTCTCAATTGATTTCAGGATAAAAAAAGCGCAGTAAACCACCGGATACTGTTTTATTAAATCTTGCCAGCGAAATCTTCTGATGAACGCCGTCAATTCTGGTGAACGTGCCGTACAATGCACTCTACGAGAATTTGTTTTTGTTATTTGTTACATTGTTCGTTGTTGAAATAAATTATGTAATTCGTTCGAATAGATTTCTCATTATTACGTGATCTTAGTTTGTATGAGCAAACGATGTACGATTTATGCATGCCTCTTTACAATTTATTTTTGTTTTAAAAATACGATATGTAACGTGATAATTTCGCTGATAACCCTTGTCTTTTCAATGATACTGCAGGGTCATATGGAAATTTACGTCAAATCGTTTATGTAATATACATCAACATATTAATCGGTGTGTAATCTTAACAGCTCTTTCGGATTGTTTCAATAAATTGACATGTTAATCGATATACGATCTTAGCTTCGGGCTGTTTTAATAGATTGCTGGAGACCTATGAAAAATATATTTTAATATTACAAATCATAATTTTGCTGTAAAACAATAATGAGCAAAATGTCGAATTGCAACGACAAGCTCCTCTCTTCTATACATTTAGTATGTTATAAATCATCGTGATAATGATTTGACATGTAAAGCATTATTTACAATTATATAGAAATTCGAACAAGTTTAAATGCAATTTCATAGAGCGATATTAAATAAATATATATACTCACAATTAGAATCTACGTATAACTATGAATACGTGATTGGCCATGTCGAATATGCTCGAAACATTTGAAAGTCTTGTCTGTCCCTATTTTATTCCATCTTCATTTCTTTTTCTCTCTTGCTGTCTTTCTCTTTCTGGATAAGTGCATCGTAGTACTGAACCTCTCTCATTGTAAAACCCGTGGATAAATTTAATGAATGAATAGAACCAGCTGGAAGCCTTCTTTGCAGCCAAGCGTAAAATATACAATATTTTCGTAGCAACACAATACACGCTAATTAATGAAAAAAGAATTTTATATATTTTTAAATACCAACAAACCAATTTAATTTTCTTATGATTTTCTTGTAAGAGAGGATATATAATTAAGTTAAAATATTTTTATTTTAAACTAGTATAAATATATTTTCAATGTTTATAAATAAGTAAAAGAAATTATAAAAATTATTCGTGAATAAAATATATCTCGAAGATTCAAATTTTATTTTAAACATTTTTCTTTGAGAAAAGAGATAATAATTTTTGTCAAAGAAATGTGGAATAACTTTTACTCTTTTTCATTTTAAAGAATAAATTTAACATAGACAAAGCACATTCATAAATATAATAATCAACACATTTAATCGAGATTATTTTAATTAATTTTCAAATTGTTTATTGCAAGAAACTTGTACTCATCTCTTTTTTCTTTATATTTGTTGAAAAGAATAAAATTTTTTACGTATACATATTAATGTCAATAAAAAAATATTAATGTCAATAAAATATTAATGTCAATAAAAATAAAGATAAAAATAATAAAACAAGAAGGAATTTAGAGAAGGCTAAAAATAAGTGTTCCTAACAGGGATCATCTAATTTTTATCATTATACATACTTATGTTACCAGCTATGACATCTTTTGAGAGATTAGAAAATTTATCTTTTGTTTATTAACATGAATAGCGTATTAATTTTCCAAACAATGTACGTCACAGTAAGCAATCCCCACTTTCGTTACTTGTTCATTTCTTTGTATATAAGAAGGCTATTAATGAGACTCAAACTCGAGATCATAGTCTCTCAGTCACGAGATTTCGAGTGTAATCCATAATTCATAACGATGGCAACAGCAAAATTCAAAGAAACATCTCCGTATGTCAAACCGAAGCCTATACCACCTGTGGAAGATTACCTTTATAACAAGTGAGTAAACATTTTAGCTTGTACCATATCGCTTGTATCATATTGTATCGCTATCGTATGATCATTGATATCGTATGATGCGGAATGAATATTCGATCGATAAAAATCGTTCCGATGAAAAAACGGTTTATCTCTAAAGCATATTTATTTTCATATTTCTGAAATTCTATTGCCATAGAGTTATAATTTCTATTTATAATTTCAAGCTTAATGCAAAAGAGTCTACGGCGCGTATGTATATATGCAATAAAAAAATCCGCATTAGCCTTAAATCAAAATTATAGTTAACTATTAATAAGTCAATTATATTAAATTGATTTTATTCATTTATTTCATTTGATTTATAATTTTCAGTAATCAAGTATGTAAATGAGTTTCTCTTACGTTATCTTGTTATTTCATGCGGTTAACATATATTTTCTCACTTTTGACATTCGAAGACTGATATCTGAAAGATATCTGCGAGATCTTTTATTCTTATATTTAACAGAATATATACAAAAAAATTTAATAGAATATTAATAGAAAAGTGTGGCTTCCGTAGATATGTGGAAGATCTCACTCTAAAGGCAGATAATCAAAATGAACCGATAGTTAAAGTGGCCCTGTTTGGCGTGGGTCGTGCTGGAACGATACATTTAATGTCTACAGTATCTAGTACACGAGCGCAACTTCTATATATTGTTGATGATATCGAGAGTAATTGGCAAAAAATGCGGAAGTACTGGCGTTTGGATGACGTCACATTTCTAAATAGCAAACAATCTGATAAAGTATTCAAAGATCCCAAGTAAGTAATTGTATTAAATAAAAAACTTCTGCTAGCAAATGTGACAGTATTCGATATTGTTAAACGTAATATTCAAGTTAACAAAAGTTAAACAAATGTAAAATTAAAAGTAGAAAAGTTGCATTAAAAGCTATATTAAATATACACTGTATGCTACAATATAAATTTATGCCATATTTATGCCATAAAAGTCGTCATATTAGAATATTTATATTTATAATGTAAATTTATATCTGCACAAGCAAATGTATTTTGCACAAGTAAATGTAATTTTCGCTTTCTATAATTCTCCATCCAAGCGTTGACGCGGTCATCGTGGCATCGCCGACTTTCACACACGAGGATATCATTATTAAAGCTTTGCAAGCGAAAAAAGCGGTATTCTGCGAGAAACCTGTGGCAGAGAATCGCCCGGATACTGCAAAGTGCTATGAAATAGCCAAGAAGGTTGGCAAGCCATTGTTTTGCGCGTTCAACAGAAGATTTGATCCGAGCTACTCGAACGTGCGAGAACGTGTTCGCAAAGGTGAAGTTGGACACGTTCACACAATTAAAACGGTCGCTCGCGATTCTCCTCTGCCCACGATAGAGTACTTGAAAGTATCAGGCGGTATCTTCCACGACTGCATGGTTCACGATATCGACATTATTACCTGGGTTATCGGAGAATATCCAGACAAGGTGCGCGGTCTCTACATATATCTGAATTTGATCTATTTGTATACAATAGTTATTTTAATAGTTGTATACAATAGTTACAATAGTTATTTTAAGAAAGACGAATTTTTTCAACTTTCATAATTATTCGGAGAATTAAAAAATTGCTCGAACCGTTTTGAACTGTCCAAAAAAATTGTGGTAAATGCGATTGCAGGTTTCAGTCCTGGCTGAAGCAAACATCCCAGAGATCAAGGCGATTAACGACTTCGATACGGTCGCAGCAACTTTGCACTTTCCATCAGGGACACTCGGCATGATCGATTTATCACGCAACAGCTCATTCGGGTATGATCAACGGTTAGAGGCGTTCGGTCCAAAAGGTATGGTGCTAGCCGACAACGAGCAGCCGATACATTCAGTTTGTCGGCACTACGATTTGCAAGGACCGACTACTGCCCCAATCTGGTACTCGTTCGCCAGCCGTTTTTTGAACGGCTACCGAAGAGAGTTTGATCACTTCATTGACGTGGTGCACGGTAAAGTTGAATCGATGGTCAAGTCAAAGGAGATTTTAGCAGTGAGTAAAATCGCTACGGCCTGCGAAGAATCCGCTCGTACAGGAAAAATCGTGACTCTAAACTGGATGGACGGCGAACTACCTGACAATCAATGAGAAAATAGTGATATCTCAATGAAACTATTATTACATCTGTAATAGATATAATCATTTTTTATCTTTGTAAACTGTAAACAAAACAGATTGCAAAATTATAAAAAAAGAGAATAACAAGATTCTTTCTTATACCAATCAATCGGCCTTATACAATCCTTTATACAAAAGTTTACAAAAAGTATTACCGAACTATTTTTACTCAATATATTTTATTATATTGTTTTTATCACATAAAATGAAGTTTTCCGTTTAAAATTTCTTCATAAGCAAAGCGGCAGGAATTCAATCTAGAATCTTTTATTTAAGATAGTTGGTTTTAAAATAATTGCTTTACTATCATTCCATATTACTCAGATTATATAAACTATAAATGAAAATTATTTCTGTATCCATTGTTTAAAAAGGGATAAATATATACGAATAAAAATAAATTTCCAAGTGCAATTCGAAATAAAATAATTGCAATACACACAATATTTACAATTACATAATATAATTGTTTAAAATATTTGTTAAATTAATGTTCAGTTGAAATAATAAGTAAAGTCATATCGTTCATGTTTTTATTACATGACAAAAAAATTACAATAATACCAAATACCGTGTCAAAAGAAAAATAGCAGCAGTATAAAATCGATATATCTATAAATTGGATGCGCACTGTGTAGAAGACATACTTGTTCATAACTGCTATTATAACAAACATCTTGTAAAAAAAATGGAAAATCTTTCTATTTGCCTGTCATTATCATTTTATATACAGAGTCAACATTTTCTTCGGTAAATAATGAGGAACTAAATTTGAGCCGAGTCCCAACATCAAAGACGAGTCTCTGAAACATTATCAAACCATAGTCGATGTTCTAGCATAAAGATTCTATCCCCTTTTTCGCAGTCGATTTAATCTATTAATATTAGATATATATATATATATATATATATATATATATATATATATATATATACACACACACACTATTTGTCCATATTCACCACTTAAATAAAAAATTACAAAGAATATTGACGAAAAAAAGCTATATCTTTCGAAATATGTAAGAAAAATCTTATCGCTTATGCCGGTTTTTTTAGCAACTGTGTATATGCAAGTCTATGAAATTTTTATAAGACCAATATAATATCCAAATCAAAGTTTGTTAGTCAGTGTATCATTTATCGCAAGTATACGCAATTGCAATTAATTATATTAAATTATTAGGTCAATTTAATTCATCTTTCTATCAGCTTCACTATGCTACTTGGAAATAATGCAATTTATATTTAGGCGTTATATGCACATGCGTACATAATAAAAAAATATATAAAGCTGTATCTCAAATATATAACTTCTTATCTCCTATATGCAAAATCTTTGAATCATTCAATTTTTACAACATTTTTTAAACTACGCAGACTTCAATATTTTTTAATGTTCACCGATTTGTTTTTGAGCTATAAAAATTCGATTCGATATCACCAATATCAAAATTATTAACCAATTTGTCAGATTTTTAAAGAGCTGTTTTATGATATCTTTTTATGATTCGTTGCAATCATAAAGCAACGTTCCTCATGCTACTCTTTTGTTATTTATATTTGTTCACTAAAAGTGAGTAATAGAGAAAGCCCGTACAATGACGTTTTTATTCTAATGACACGTATACTCAATTAGAATAAAAGCGAAAATTATAAGGAAAGATAACTTGATTTTAATGATTTCATAGAACGGAGAATCGACTTAGCAGTTAGAAATATATTAGAAACAGTTATTTCGACAATAACGCTTAGACGATACTTAAAAATTGCTTTGAACATTGTGGGTCCCCTCCATCTTTATTGCCTATCATATATTCACAATTTCGCTTTATATTTATACTTATCTGTTTTTTCTCGATAATTCGGATATTCGAATTGCACGTGACAATTTTTAACATTTAAAATTTTAATGATTTCGCGAATAACGCAGCAATAGCCTGCGCTTTATCTCCGTTAAATCGACGTAATTCTGCAATGACTTGTGCTCTGGTAAAACCCATAGCTTCTAGTTCCTTGACTGTGGATTCCGTGAACGGATCATGCGGATAGATTGTAGTCTCTAAGGCAGGAGGTCTATTTGACCCTTGATTACTACTGCCTTGCCCGTCTAAGAAATTTTTATAAAAATGTTTATCATTGCCATGTGTTAAAAAACTCTTACATCTATGCTTTTTAAAAGAAAAGAAAATATTTTATATATCTCAAATAATAATGATTAAACCGAATTAAAATTTTCATAATTTTGAGTTAGATCTACAGAGAAATAAGATAGTTGAAATTTATTTAAATAACTATAAAAATATATTAAAAACAGACAAGGCAAGGAAGTAAGGTAAAAATGAAAAATATTTAATTTCAATAAATGAAGCGAAGAAAAAAGGACAAAAGGATCGAAGGGATAGCCTGAGCTAATACATATTTACCGTGATGCTGCTGCCTCTGCTTCTTAGCATCTCTTGTACTATCCTCGAGAGCTCGTTGGAGATCTCTATCATCTAAAGATTCATCGCTGTTTCCACTCAATCTCGCACATTCTGGTAAATCGCCTGTAGAAATAAAAATTAGTAAATTATTAACATTTCTTCATATTTCATATTCTCTTAAGTTTTAACGTTAATTAATTTTAATAATTAAAAAAAGAAGAAGAAACACCTTCCGCCAAAAATGGAGTTTCAGTGCCAGTGGTCCCGATTTTCAAGACATTTTTCTTTAAGTCTATGCAACATTGATGTCTCTTGAGCATATCTAAACCTAATAACATATCCATGGGCTGTTCCTCGAGGACGCTGAAGGATGTTGTCAAATGGTCGTTGCCGATCTGTATTTGTACCATATGTATACGACCGATTATACGTTGTACTCCGACACCTTTAGCAACACCAGCCCATCTTGTGTCGACCAAGCGCATAATGTGGCATCTCTCAGCACAGGCAGCAGACATAATAGTGGTTTGTGCACCTTGATAAGAAAATATCTTCAATCTATTGTGTTAGAATTAATGGCGCAAAACACTTTTCCTTCAGTTTTCGTACTACAAACACGCGAGGGATCAGAATATAAATTTAAATCAAGAGCAGATTCTTTTTTCATTATTTTCGCGGACAAAGGTCATACGTTCTAAAATTAAGTTGTTTTTCTGCATGCTGTGCAGAATGATTATTCGACATGTGCGCACAAAAATAAATCTTTACTCAGCCTTCTTCTTCTCTTCTTCGAGAACAGAGAACAAAGATGTTTAAAAATAATTTCAAGTATGACGAAAATCAAAGTTTTAAATGCTTTTTTAAGAAACGCACGCGGAAGAGAGACAATGCACGCGCGTGGAAGAGAGACAATGCATTTTTACTTGCTATTTGCTTCTAGAAATAATTTGAGCTAATAATTTACCTGAATCAATAAATGCTTTAACTGGAAATCCATTGACTTTACAATTGATATATAACATAACGACAGTGCCAAAGGTCTCTGGGTTGTATTCCATCGCGGCCTCCATATTCGCTTCGATATTCTTCTGCCTAATCTCTTCAGCAATTAGTCGCTGTGCTTCGGTGTCAAAAGGATCAGCGTTCATCATTCTCAACCGTTGCGCTTGCCGTTCTTCTCGAGCGGCTATCTGCTCTCTGAGTACAGTCGAAAATCTATCTATAATGTACGAATATTTAGACCAAAAATACAAAACGCCTATTAAGCCTGTTGTATTTGGATCACAGCTACTCACCAAGATTTCCTGACAATAAAGCGTCAGCTAATCTGGGATTATTTTGCTTCAGCAACGCCAACTGATCTGGATTAGCTAGGAACATGTTTTTTATCATAGCTGGATCATCCTCACTGCGAGGATTTTGTATTCTGTTGTTTGCAATCGGTGATGGACGCTGATTATTGCTGGCTCCAGGAACTCTGATGGAACTGAAGTCCAGTAACGGAATGGCTAGAGTGACGTTTCTTCAAATTTAGTATGTTCATTTTTTTACAAGATATTGTATATAGCCGGAGCAGAGCATAGAATGTAAAGAAATGCGGCGAATGAAAGAGAATAAAATAAATTTCGCGCAATAACATTTAGAATATTAAAATTGAACGTTAAATTTGACAAAGATATACTCGAGCAGAAACCAAAGGTCTAAAAATCAAGATTTCATCAATATCAATATGTACATTCTATCAGCTCTCTATCAGCTGTATCAACTAGATAAACAGAATCTGTTTATGAAAATAACAATTGACATTTTCGGTTGAAAATTTTAAATGATCCGTTACGCAAGTAAATCACTCGAGTCCTCACACCCACCTCTGTTGAAGGGCTGCAGGTTCAGGTCGCTGCCACTTTGATGCATATGCTGGAGGATGACAGCGTCGCCGTCGCGAATCCCATGATCGCGCAGTGACTTCTTATCGTCCATGAGCGGTAGACCGTTAAACGCGATCACGATCTCGTGGGCCGGCACGCCACTCTCGATCTCGCAAAATGCCTTGAAATTCTCCAGTTCCAGTTCCTCACTTACATCGAGGACGAAGACACTGTCGTCGCTGAGCGTTGTCACCGTCACCTTCATTTCGATCGCCTCGATCCCGCGCGGAAGTCCAATAAGCACGAGGATGAGACCGTCCGTCTTTTTTGCCTTTCTCTATCTTCCTCTCCCTCTCGCCGTCGACGGGAAAGTGTTGGAAAATTTCGAATAACTGGCAACACGCGCGTTCGTGTCGGAGAGGGCGATCGCGAGGAAAGGATGAAAAGGGGCAGGATGACTCACGCTGAGGGTTCTCCGGATGTAAACACGGGCCCAGCTCAGCAAAAATACTCCCCCGACGGCGGCGAGGCGGGATTCGAGCCCTACGCGAGACGGACGGTGACGCGTAGCGCACGCGGTCGACAATCGAACAATCGACAGTTGCGAGTCGAGACGTCGATATGTGTATACTACCTTGACTCGAACGCTGATAGGTTGAAAATCTTTCGTCCAAATCGATACGGCTGCTAGCCGAGCGGAGCCGATGGCGTTTATGTCGCTACACCACGTGTTGAGTGGTTGAGTTGTGAGGATATCACATGGCAAAGAAAACCTTCTGAAGAAAATGTATGAGATAAATAATTAATTGTATATTCTTTAATTGTGTATGCGATAAAGATGAAGCAACTGTCAGAGGAAAGAACAAAACTCGTATTCGAGAAGCTAACTAAATAGTAAGCAACAAGTTTGACTCATAATTTTTTGCTTATAGATTATAAGTATACGAATATTTATCATAAATTATTTTTTCACAGTATTGGCCCTAATGTAAAGAATTTGATAGATCGGCCAGATGGTATATATTGTTTTCGGGAAAAGAAAGACAGGGTATATTATGTATCGGAAAAGATTTTATCTTTAGCGAATAATGTAGGACCTGATCACTTATTAAGCTTAGGTACTTGCTTTGGTAAATTCACAAAATCGGGAAAATTCAAGCTACATATTACTGCATTACATTATTTAGCACCTTATGCACAAGTGAGTATGTAATTCTAAATGTATTTAAGATATAGATATATATATAATAATATAAGATAATACAAGATATAAAAATAATACAAGATATAAGATAATACATAAGATATAAATAAATTATAAACTTATCTTGAATAAATTCTCTCATAGCATAAAATCTGGGTAAAGCCTTCGGCAGAACAACAATTTCTATATGGACATCATATTACGAAATCAGGCCTTGCTCGTATAACAGAAGGCACTTCTCAGTATCAAGGCGTTGTTGTATTTTCTATGAATGACTTACCTTTGGTTTGTAGTAAACATAATTTTTTGAGGCAATAATTGAAAATCGCTTTTACTCAAATATCGTCTGAAAAAGATAATAAAGTATTGTGAAACTTGTATTCTCCATTTGATTTCAGGGATTTGGTGTTGCTGCAAAAAGTACAGCAGATTGCAAACACGCGGATCTCATGCAAACAATTTGCTTCCATCAAGCAGATATTGGAGAATATATTCGTTCAGAAGACACGTTACTGTAGCAAAAACATCTGTTTTTCTTTTTAAAGGAAACATCTAATTTATACAGTCAATTTTTAACTCTTTCTTATTTTATAACATATATTTAAGAATAATCTTATGATAAAATATATTACCTATATTAATATTAAACAGATAGTATGTAATTGTCATTTTGTTACATAAAAGATTAAAACATTCTTTACCTCCATTACATTCGTCTATAATTTTATTATAAACAGATTTTGTGCAATACAAATTTGATTTTTATCATATAAAGTGCGTACACGAGGAACTTCCTTTCGTATTTCCTTTTTTTCCTATATAAATACAGTAAATCATAATTTCTCATTATAAAAACATCGTCTTTGTCATAATTACTTTCTAAGTTCCTAGTTCCAATATTGCAAAAAAAATTTATAAATCCTAAAGTTGGTTCATTTTGATTATCCTATCGTAAACATTTTAAAAATATAATTAAAGTTGAATATCTATGAAGAAATTATAGTTGAAATGTGGAATTAAAATGACTTTAAGATTTTTACTTTCTCTAGTTTGTTGATAATTGTTAATGTCTTTTTTTATATATTATTTAAATACGGTACAGGTAAAAATCTATGTCATTTAACTATGATGAGTGATATTTTTCGATACACGATATTTCGCATAATTTTAATTTAAATACCTACGAGAGTATCGTTAATAAAGATGCTCGATGTCATTATATATTACAGTTCTATAATTTAGAATATTTCGTCTTTCATATGCATGCAATATAAGAGAAAAATAAATACTAAACTATACATAAGAATAAATACATTTTTGGAGAGATAAGTTTCACGTGTAATAATATAAAATGCAAATGTACCGTTTTACATCTTACGTGTTTTGCATTACATAAGAATGTCTTACATGTTTTTTGAAGAAATATATTATCATATTTATTATAACATACAAAACTGCAGTATATTAACAATTCTCAAAACACGTAATGTAATACGAGTAAAAATTTGTTCTCTTTCGATAAAATTATTTAAATGAAATAAATAACGTATATACAAATGATACATGAAAACGATATTTTTATAAAAAAAAAGGACACTTCTTTTTTCACGAAAAGAAGGAAATAATAATAATATTCCATATAATATTCCAACTTACAAGAACACACGAATTCAATATTATATAATCAGACTCTTCATCTCTTTCTTGCAATCTCTGAATTTTAAATAGCTATACTGCATTCATAGGATATCTTTCTAGCACCAATTAAATCCTGAGATATGCAATTTTGTTTAAATAAATCATGTTCCCACATACTTGTAAAATATCTCGGTTCGCTTCGAGTGAAAATGCCAGTTGATTAAATACTTTTCAAATATATCCGTGATGTCTGGCGTAATATGACGTTGCAATAGAGATATTAGAAAATAAAGAAAGCTTCGTGGAATAAAATTTGCTTGATGTATTGATGCTACAAGGTAAGAAGAGAATATATTTTCACAGATCATGAGATGAAAATGGTATGACTTATGACTAGTAAACTGGCTAAGATTCGCAAACTTAATTGAATTGACAATTGATTTTTTTTCTTTTCCCCTTTTCTTCAGTTACAAATGCAGATAATGCAAACCAATTTCCCAAACATTGAATTGTGAGCTACCGTAAATTGCGAGTAACGATCATATCGTTTAATGCATTTGAACAGTAAGATTCAAATCGATGAGAAATATATATATAAATATACAAAGACCATTTCAAACATTCAACGTTTTTGCCAAATAAAATCACCTGCTTTCGAATCTTGTGTTAAATCTACTCACTTTTCGATTATTATTCCTAATCCTTAATTGATTGCATACAGAATATACATAACTTAAAAGGCTTATTCTATATCACGTGATCAATTAAAACTTAAGAAATGACAGATCAAACTTTGAGTATTTCTTCGTTCTTTTTTCCCTTTTTCATGTAATTGTTATGAATCAGACAATGATGATTGTAAACCTGATTATTTATCATCGTCCGGGGAAACTCAATTTCAAAGTGTAAGAGAGTTCTGTATAAAAAAGAAGCGATATAATTTAAAAATATATATATAATAACTTATTTTTGAAATATATATACAAAAACACAATAGAGTTTTCTTTTAAAATTACACAAATGATAGCAAAAATTTTTTTTAAATATTCTGCATATACACTCGTGTACATTTCAAAGTTCAGAATTCTTTTTAAAATTTCCATTATTGTATCTCTTTTTTATTTGTTACTTATCTGACTCATTCATCAAAAATTTATTCATATCAATATATCTATATATACTTTATTAATCATTTCGTTTGCTCGCTGTAGACATGATAAAAAAAAAACATATTTCGAGACTCAATAAAATTAAATCTAATAAAACATCTTTTTTTTACTAAATTTGGTACAGGTTTTAGCGCATTCAATTGTCATTAGTGTCGTTAATGTCGCGACTAACTTTATAATTTTCTTTAATTTTTTTCTTTTTCTTTAATAACCCTTCGTGTTATACGAAATTCTCAACATTTTTGCAATTTTTCTAATTTATATTTTTTTTATATTTTTTTGTTTCGTTTTTAACATGTCTTGTAAATATACACGCTTATAGTAATTAGTTTTACTAATTAAATATTAGCTATAAAGGACATGTTTATCACATCAATTTCAATATTTTCTAAAGACAATTTTTTAGTTTTGTTTTTCACAGCGCTTAAGTACCTGTTCGCCTTCTATCTTTTCCATCTTTTTAATAGCGATCAATATACAATCTTATTATTGAAACGGGAAAAGTTTCCAATTTTGTCTTCTTTATAAAATATTAAAATATTTGCACAAAAAAATATTCCGAAATATCTATGTGTAATGTATTGAAAACGTGAGCTGAGATTAATATATACGATATGATATGGTAACTCACATACTGACAAAACATATAACTATATCTTTCGTAGTGAAAGACAATGATATTATCTTGCCAGTATATCTCAGTGAAAGATACAAACAAAACATCTAAGAAAAATTATTGTGATGCATGAATTGACGTTTGTACTTTTGAATAGAATTTTGATCTTACTGGAAAAAGTGAAAATCTTGCGCTCTTACTTGTTATATCAAACATCTAGTATATCAAAATTTGATATATCAAATAAAGAAATCCCAGTTCCATATCCTAAAAGAAAAAGGGAAAAATATCAGTAATGTATCAGTAATTCATTTCAAAGATTTAATTTAGATTATATCTTTTATCAAAGAT